GCCGTCTCGGCCATCTCGAGAGGCCGAGCGCCCGCGCTCAGAACGAGCGAGCCTGGCTTCAGACAACGATAGGTGAAAAGGGCAGGCGCGGGCGTGCGAGGCGGCTGGGGCAAGCGGCAGACTACGTCCGCCATCCTGTGTCCCGAGCTCAACCTCGTCGAGTCAATCGTAACTCCGAGCCTCTGGGACGGCATCGGGTTCTGGGGAAGGTCGATGGTGCATCCCAAGAAGTCGAGTACGTTGACACTGACGATGTAAGGCACGTCCTCAGCCAGCACCAGCATCTCGATGATGCCCAGGGCCTGTACTTCTGAATATGAACCAGGCTGACTCTGGTCTAGGGTCGACACACGTACAAAGAAGAAGGTGACCGAAAAGAAATCGGTCTCGAACCAGTTGAACATCATGATGATGTAGTTCACGCCCAAATGGGTGTGAATTACTTGTCATGTGTAGCCAGGCACTGGTGGCCAAAGACAAACACCAGGCGGCCATGATGCCCAGGGCCTTCCCCAGGGTGAGCGGAAACAGGATGGACGAAATCACGGTGGCCTGACCTCCCACGCCGTGGGCCTGCCTCTTGCGCCGCCCAGCCTTGGGAGGCACCACTACGTAGGTCACCCCGATGCCCGCCAGGGCGTACGCCTCGCGGTTCAGGGAGACCCGGCCCGCCAGGTCGCTGCCAGCGCCGGGGTCGATGAGGCCCTGAGCGGCGCGGGTCGTCAGGTAGATGGCGTCGTCCTCCAGCTCCGCCGGCAACTCCTTCAGCTCCGCCATGACCGTCGACGAGGGGTTGCAGCTGCATCCTGAGAACGAGTGCCCGGTCATTCCCCTCGAGTCCTGGCCGCGATGTCGTGCTCCATGATGTCCGGCTGCATCGTCCTCCTTCTTGTTCGGGCGCTCCCTGGACCAGTGGCCTCTTTGGTCGCACAACCTGCACTTGGTGACCTTCATGATCTCTTCGAGCGGCATGCCTGCGAACTTGCCGCGGCCCGAGTGGTCCTGACCTCGAGCTCCACCGGCGGCACGGCAGCCCCTTCCCGTCCCGCGGCCTCGTGGGACTCGTGAGAACCCTCGAGGTGGGGGTGGTGCTCGTCCTCCTGGTCGGTCCTTGTTGTCCTTGTAGAACACGGTCCTTCCTGGCAGCTCGTTTGAGAGCCTTGTTCTCCTTCCACGTCCGCTTCTTGGTCACCCCTGCCAGGAACACGTTAGCCTCCTCTTTGTCCAGGTCCAGCTCCTCGAGTTCTGCGAGGATCTGTGCACACTCCTCTTCCGGACTCTCGATCGAGGAGTCGTCGTCGTCGTCTGATTGTCCGTCATGGTCCTCCGTGTTCGAGAGATCGTCACCGCCGTTCTCCCCTTGCCCGTGACCGCGAGAGGAGGAGAGAGGGTAGGAGTGAGGAGTACTATCATTCTCCTCGGCTCCTGCTGAGCTGTCGGCAAACATGGCAACGTGCGTGCCAGCTCGGCCTGGGAGGAGCTTCTCGGACGTAGTGTAATCTAGTTGCCTCAGAGCCCAACACACGTTCTTGCACGTCAAATCCCCATGAGTCAGCGTCCTCAAGTTCTGCATCTCCTGAGCTGACAGTGAGGAGCCCTTCCATCATGAAGCCCTTGAACCTGTCGAAAATCTGGAGATCACTGCCCTCGGCCTCGCGGAACTGCCTCTCGCGTCGATCGACAAAGGACTGGGGGGCCTCCTTGGGCTCGCGGGCTACCTCAAAGAGTGCTCGACTACCGATTCTCCGCAAGTCGTCGCCCTCGCTCTCGCCGATCATGAGGTCAAGTCTTTCTAAGAGGATGTCGAGCCACTGGGGTCCCTCTAGCCGATCTTCTCGTAGGTCCTCGAACTTAGGCTGCATCGACCAGTCGAACAGCTTTATGAACTTCTCGTATCGTCGCCATACTGGAACGTCCGTGTTGCGATCCCAGCGTCGCATGGCCTTCTTCCACGAGAGAAAGTGTGGTCAGCCTGGCCACGCTGGGGGATCGCTGAAGTCGCCCTTGGTGAAGGCTCCGCCATGGCCTGACCAGCCGCCGTCACGCGGCCAGTGCTCCCAGTTCCCGTCAGAGGCCAGAGCCCACCGGCCTGACCAGGCCATGGCGTCGCTGTCCCAGTCTTCGTCCTTGGCTGCCTGCGGGAAGCGCCGTCGCTCTGGGTGTGCTCCCACGGGTCGTGACCACGGTGCCAAGGGTCTTCCTGCGTGCTGCCCTGCTGCTTCAGCACCATCTCGGCAGTCGCTCGTGTCTTCGCGATCATCTCAGTGACCATAGCCCGCGCGAGCTCCCGCATCTGCTCAGACTGAGCTCCTGTGGTCATGCCCTCAGCTGCTGCCGCTGCTGCTGCGGCTGCTGGAGCTCCTGGCTCTCTCGCAGGCTGCGAGGCGCCAGTGATGACCGCGAATGTATCCGTCTTCTCTTCTCCGTCCGGCATCGCCGTGGCGCCGAGCGGCGTTCGCCGCAGGGTCCTTGAGCGCTCGTGCCGGCTCATGTCTCCATGGACGCGCCGGCCGGCACCCCTGACCCTGGGCTCGCACCGCTCCACTATCAGCTGGAAGCACGATGGGCAGCTGATGTTTTTTGGACTTGAGCCATAACGGTACGGACACAAGTCTCGAAGCCCTGCCGCCCACGGCCCCAGGGAAAATATATCCATATTCTAAACCCAGGTGCAAATTCAGTTGCACTATCACACCCCGTCGTCCATCCTAAATATGAGTTCGTACCATCCCAAGCAGGCTAGTACCCTCATCGTCTGCAACAAAATAAAAAAACTGCGCGCGCGGATTCGTTTATCAAAAACCAGAAGCTTTCAAACATCCTTTGCAACAAATGGGACAAAGTGCGCACGCGCGCGTCGTCGCGCGCGCATGCCGAAATCTGTCAAAAACCATCGGTTTTCGTAGGGAATTGAAAGTCGAGTGTGCCGGAAACAAATGAAAACATGGTTTCGCAACAAAAGTGTTCAAAACAGTATTGCGCTCGATCAGAGAAACTATGGATTCAGTTTGTGTCGGGGTTTCGGTTTTCCTGCTATGCCTGGCGGCCCATAGGGGCCAGACGGATCGCGAGGAGGCGGAGGAGGAGGAGGAGGGCTCCATACTGAATCCATAGTTTCTCTGATTCGGGCTCCTGCATTTTTAAATTAATTTATGCTTCATCATTTTCTTTTAACAGTACATAGGTTATCAACAATTTCATAACTTGCTACCAAACGGGCCTCTCGCGTGCGCACGTCGGACTCGCTCGAACGCCCTTGCGCATGTGCTGTCGCAAGAATCCTTCGCAACAAATGGGACGAAGTACACACGCGCGCGTCGTCGCGCGCGCACGCCGAAATCTTACAAAAGTCATAGGTTTTGTAGAGATTTCAAAATCGAGTGCCCCGAAAAGATACAAGACAATTTGGTTTTGCAACATCAGGTTTCAAACATGCCTGCGCTCGCGCTCCTGCGAATTGTTCATAACCTACAGCTATTCAGACTTTCCATTCAACTCGGCCAGACGGGCCCCTCGCGCCGCACGTCGAATTCATTCGAACGCCCTTGCGCGCGTGCTGGGGGGGGGGCACGACCCCATGCGGGCCACTCTCGCGCGTCGGCCGCGCGCGCATATCGAACTCTGTCCAAAACCTTCATAACCGACGCGAGGGCGCCGTCATCGTCGTCGGTGTGATCAGCATCGGTGCCGTCACTGGCCTTGCCGTTGTCGTTGGCATCGTCGTCACTAGCATCGCTACCATTATCATCATCGTCATCATCATCATCATCATCATTATCATCATCATCATCATCATCGCGTCTACCATTGTCGACGTTGCGATGATATCGCGCCCGCCCAAATCGTCGACTCGCATTGCCGTGCCCGCTGGGAACTGCCCAGCGGTCTGCGCCAGTAGCGCCAAACTCTCTGGCCGCTGCACGCGCGAGCATGCGCGGGCTAGCGCGGCCGCATACATGCACCATCCAATTCCTAGCACTCATCACAATCGCCGTCGTATTGGTATTGCAAACCAAGTTACGGGTGGGTGGGTGGGATGATTGCGCGAGCAGTGGAGTTGACAACTCGCTGCGACTTGCAATTGGTTGTACGCATAGAGTGCACCATCTCGAGTGCACCACATGTATCGTACCATATCGTTTGCACAACACATCATGCGCCACACAGATTGCACCACGTCCACTGCACCACATACATTCCCAACATAGACTGCACCACGCATCCGATTGCACCGCATGGGTTGCGCCGCGTAGGCTGTTCCACAAACGTTGCGTAACACAAGGTGCGCAGCACATCTTGCACCACACACACACACACACACATATATATATATATATATATATATATATATATATATAAATTTATATATAATTACAGATTGCAGCACGGCGGTTGCACCGCATAGATTGTACCATGTCTGTTGCACCACAAAGCTCTGCACCACGTCGATTGCACCACATACTTGCGAATCGTGCAATTTGTACCGCACAGCTTGCGCTTCATATATTGCCCAACGTATGGACATGTGTGTATACCTTTATACCTATATTTGTGAGTACATGCTTTTCGCCGCATGTATGCCACTACACAGAGTGCGCCACATAGGCTGCCCCACAGAGATTCCACACCACATATTTCACAGCATGTGTTACACAAATCATATTCCACACCCGATACGGCACTGCGTAGAGTGCACCACATCGATTACCCTGCCTTGGTCGCACAACGCAACCTGCTAGGTACACAGTGTGTTGGCTAACCTGTGTTTTTGGATTCGGAACGAAGAGCCACATTTCGTGTTTTCCTTCGGGATACGTTAAGCAGGAACGGGTGTGGTATTGTAATTGCGTGGTGGCTAAGTTGCAGGAGGCTGAATGATATTTCTCTTCCACGGAAACCAAAAACAGGGGAGGAAACGCTCACACGCACAAGCTAGATGCCACGAACCCTGCCCCTAACGGCCTGTTGTGCCCCGCAAGGGGTTGACGGATAACCCCAAGCTGTACAACCCTCCTGCTAAGGTGGAGCTGTCAGAGCAGGGCGCCATCGAGAGGGACATGTCGTTTGTGCAGATTTCGGAGCACGTGCAGCGCAGGAACGCAGTGGATCCGCCGCCAGAGACGTGGGGTGCGTACGCCACACAGGCGGAAGAGAGCAGTGGCGTTATCGCCATGATAGATTTGCTGGTGAAGGATCTTGACACCGAGCTCACGGAGGCTTCAACCGAAGAGAAAAACTCGCAGGAGGAGTATGACAAAACTGTAGCCGATGCGAAGGCCGAGCGCGTGGGGCTGTCCAAGACACTCAAGGACAAGGGCGCAGCCAAGGCCGACAACACTGCCGATTTAGAGGGACTCAAGGCCACCAAGAAATCTACGGCGGCGGAGCTGATGGCCACGGACAAGTTCTTGGGCGGCCTCCACGCGGAGTGCGACTGGCTCCTGAAGTATTACACGGTGCGCCAGGACGCGCGCAGCGGGGAGATCGATGCCCTGGGCAAGGCGAAAGCCGTGCTCAGCGGAGCGAGCTACGAGTAGTTGGCGGGCTTGCGATATCTCAGCGCGCTTGCTTTGCCAGGTCCAGTCTAGTATGTAGCTGTCTAGCATATTCTATCACCGCGGTCAATCTCATCATCGTCATCGTCGCCATCGCCGACACGCTTCAATCCTTGTCGCTTCGCGTATCCCCACCAGCCCATCTAGCAACGATGTTCAGGCGAGTTGCATTGACCAGGGAAGTGGGGAGCATGCAGTGGAACAAAGAGTTTGGAACGCCGTCGAACCGAACTCTGGGGTCAGCTTGAGCAGGCCCGGCGTCAATGGGAACATTTGACCCATCCCAGTCGTGTGATATGCAGATTGCGTTACACATCCAGCAAAGCATAGCCATTCAGCGTATTGTGGCATACACAGTGGGACCGAGCATGGCGAAGCACCGCGTCCCCAGGAACATAGCACAAGCACAAGCGCAGACATCTTCCAGTGGACAGTGACGATAACCCTGGCCTGTGCGGCAGGCCATCACGTCTCAGCGCAGCGTGGTAAAATGTTCAAATGCACATGTATATGTATGTATGCATACAACGTAATATAGTGTAATGTCATGCCATGCTATGCCATGCCATGCCGTGTGTTGTAATGTAGCGTATTGTAGTGTAGTGTGATTTGCTGTAATGCCGTGGAACGTATTGTATTGTAATGCCGTGTCATGTAAGTGTAATGTATTGTAAGGTTGAGTATTGTAATGTAGACTAATGTAGTGTAGTTGCTGTATTTTATTGTCTTGTATTGTGCCGTATTGTAGTCTAGTGCAATGTAACGTAATGTATGTACATATACATGCATGTAATTGTTTATATGCGTGTACAAACATATGGAGTGTAAGGCATTGTGATACACATTGCTGTACTATATTGTCTTGTCATGTAATGTATTGTAGTGTGTCCCAGTATGCGTAGTCATGTATGCATGCATGTAATGTAACGTGTTGTAATGAACTATAACTTAGTGTAATTCAAAGTAATGTACTGTACTGGCATGTACTGTAATGTACAGTAGTGTAATGTAATGTAGTGTATTGTAGTGTATTGGAATGTAAAGTAGTGTCGTGAAATGTAATGTAATATAATGTATTGCAGTGTAGTGAAGTGTAGTGTAGTGTAATGTAATGTAATACTCTTATTGGGCTGTAGTGTAGTGTAGGGCAGTGCAATGCACTGTAATGTATTGTAATGCGCTGTAGTGTGATGTAGTGCAATGTCATGTAATGTATGTGAGTATTTTGGTGTAGTGTAATTCATTGAATTGTTGTGTATTGAAACGTAATGTGATGTAATGCATTGTAATGTAATGTAATGTGATGTCATGTACTGTTGTATAATGTGCTATAGTGTTATGTGTTGTAGCGTAATATAATGTAATGTAATGTAATGTAATGTAATGTAATGTAATGTAATGTAATGTAATGTAATGTAATGTAATGTAATGTAGTGTCGTGAGTTCTACTGTAGTATAGTGTAATATAGTGCAGTGTAGTGTAGTATACTGTAATGTAAGGCTTTTGCAGTAATGTAGTATAGCGTCGTGCAATGTAATGGAGTGTATTGTAATGCAGTGTAGTGTGATGTATTGCAATGTAATGTTTTGTGCTGGAATGTAATTTGATGTAATGTAATGCAGTATGATGCAATGCGATGTAATGTAATGCAATCTAATGTAGCCGCCGCGCCCTCTACATTCAGGAATGACGCTCTCACTCTGGCCTTTTCACGATTTACTTGGGAATCGTACCATCGCCCGATAATTCCTCGCGATTCATGCAGGACTCACGCTTCAGCAACCCGCCTGCTCGACCTGGCCGCCTGGGTCCGCCTTCCACACTCGCCCCGTAGGGTCTACCCTCCCGATCTGCCCGTCTGGTTCTGCCACGTGTTTTCTGCTCCTAGCCCCCCTCCTGCTAACCTCTTTCGTCCTCCATCCTTTTCCCTCCCCCTTCCATCCGTCCTCTGTTCCTTTTTTTCCGGGGCTGCGCCAAAGAATCGTGGCACGTCAGGAAGATATACCCCAAGAAGGGACGATCGACGATAAGAGGGCGGGTGCCGATGAGTTGGGATCTACGTTTTGACTGGCGCGAGAGCAGATCGGAGCGAACAGTCTTGAAATGATGTTTGTCGTTGTTGTCGTCGTCGCCGCCGCCGCCGTTGTCGTTGAATTCTAACTTCTGTTGATCCCCCCTCGCCGGTGCATATTGCCTTTTTCAGTCAAAGTGTGCCCCTCGATGCTCGCACCCTGTTTTCTGACAGGGAATGTCTTCCTGGTCAAACTGTGCCCATGGCCCCCCGGACTACAGCAACAACGGCTCCCGCTTGAGACTTCCTCCAAATTTACTCTGGACCCCCCCTCTCACCTGAGACTTCCTCCCAATCTACTCAGGAACGGCGCTCCCGCTTCAGACTTCCTTGCAATTTGGTCCGGGTCAAACTGCGTTGTTGCTCCCCCGGACTACAACAACAACGGCTCCCGCTCCAGACCTGCGAGCCGCTGCCCCTGACCCAGGCCGGAGGAAAAAGCGGGGAAACAAGCGTGGCCTTGCCGCTCCTGGCCGCGTTTGCGGTGCCGTGGGCGGCGAAAACACGATAGACCAGCGAGCCTAGCAATGCCCAATATGTCCGCTCCACAGCCCCCTCCAAACGAGGCGGCCCCGACACGCCAAAAGCATGCCGTAAGCTCTTGCGGGACAAACATCACGCTGCTTCGCAACACAGGCTCGGGGCAGGCTGTGCTGCCCGGAGAGGGAGGGAGGCAGGAGGAGGAGGAGGAGGAGGGGCGAGGGACGAGGGGGGAGAGGAAAAACACGGCGAGCAGGCGCCAACATGCAAGAGAGGGGGGGGGTGGCAAAGGCAGCAGCAGGCAAGCGCGCACGTTGGGGGCGGGCGGGGGGCGGCGGCGGCCGTCGGGGGGTCGTCGGGGGGTCGTCGTGGGTCGTCGGCTCCCGCTTGAGACTTCCTCCAACTTTACTCAGGACCCCGCTCCCGCCTGAGACTTCCTCCCAATTTACTCAGGATCGGCGCTCCCGCTGTTGATTTCTTCGCAATTTAGTCAGGGCCCCCCCTCCCGTCTGAGACTTCTTCGCAATTTACTCAAGAACGGCGCTCCCAGTTAAGATGTCCCTGCGCTTTAGTCTAGGCCCCCGCTCCCGCCAGACATCCCCTTTTCAGGAATTGCGCTCTCACCTGTGACTTTTGCGCAGTTTATTCAGAGATCGCGCTATCTACGCTCAGGCAACACGCTCGCGCCGAGGACGCCGTCACACTTTACTTAGGAATCGCGCTCTCGCCCTACTCAGGCATCCCGCTTGAATGTCCCACCTGCCCGACCCGCCCGTCAGAGGATCGCCCGCCCGTCGTGGGCTGCCGCCCGAGAGTTCCTTGTGTAATGGCGCTTTCGCTTAGGACTTCTTCGAACGTTCGCTATCTTACCTTCCTGCTCCTCCCTCCTCCCGTGCCGCCTCCCCCCTCCTTCCGATTCCCTCTCTCGCACGTTAGCTGATGTTGAACTTTCATCCCTGAAGAATGATTTCTTTTGGTTCCCCCCACCGGTGCGCATTGTTTTTTCAGTCAGGGTGCGCCCCTCGACGCTCGCACCCTGTTTATTTGGCAGGGAAAGTCATCTGAGCCAAACTGTGCCCTGGGCCCCGGGCTACAACAACAACGACTCTTGTCTCAGACGCGCCCAGTGAGGCCCCGTCACGCTGCCCAGAGAGGCCCCTGCCGCAGCCCACAGATGCCCCGAACGCGCCCACAGAGGTCCCGCCCAGGGCTTCTCCAGGAAGGAATGTAACCCCCCAAAAGGGGGTACGATCGAAGACGAAGAGGGCGGGTATCCATGGTTTGGGATTTGCATAGTGAATGACACGCGGGCCGGTAGGAGCGATCAGTCTTGGAATGGTTGTTGTTGTTGTTGTTGTTGTTGTTGTTGTTGTTGTTGTTGTTGTTGTTGTTGTTGTTGTTATTGCTGTTCTCGTTATCGTTGTCATTGTCGTTGTCGTCGTTGTTGTTGTGATTGGTGGACGCTGCACCTGGAGCCCCAGACCCCCCCCCAACAACCAGCAACCCAAGCAACCCCCCAGGGGGGGATTCCTGATGGATTCCTCTGGGATTCCCATGGCTTCCTAAGGTTTCCTGAGGATTTCTAAGGATTCCGCAGGATTCCTAAGGATTCCTAAGGATTCCTAAGGATTCCTAAGGATTCCTAGGGATTCCGAGGGATTCCTAGGGGTTCTGAAGGATTCCTAAGGATTCGTAGGGCTTCCTGGGGATTCCCAGGGATTACCAAGGATGCCTTATGGATTCCTCAGGATTCGTAGGGGTCCTAAGGATCCCTTATGGTTTTCCGTGGATTCCGATGGGTTCCTATAGAATATCGATCGAAGGCATCCTTGGGGGGGGGGTTCTGGGGTTGCTGGGGCTGCTGGTTGTTAGGGTTCCGGAGGAGCTTCGCTTCCCCCCCAGGGGGGGCCGAA